AAAAAGGGCGAGATATCATTGCACCTTATTCACAAAATGTTGTGGCATTACCCATCTAACGTTCAATGTTAAATGAGAAATTCCTACGTACTCATACTTCAACTATTGTCGGAATGAGGTTAAAGTGATATCGTAAATCATTTTTTCTTAATAATTTGAAGAAAGATTTTTTATTGCTTTTGCAACGATAGGTAGAAAATCTTGGAAAAGTACACGATATACGTATACACCAGTTTTATTATGAAATCCCGTTAACTCTCGGGAGTTTTGCGACTCCGATACATTAATCGTTATGCAAAATTATATAATGCCTCCTGCAGTTCGACAGTTTCCTGAAACTATCCTGTTAGTTTCGCTGGTTGTATCTTCGCAAACAAGAGCTGGGCATAGAAAATGAGCACCCGGAGAGCAGGCAAACGCCACACTGCCATTGAGATCGAGTTCTACTTCCCATGTCCCAGTCTATGCCGGCGCAATTGACGATGCTGTGAGCAGCGCCTCAGAACAGCGAGACTCAACTGAAGGTCATGTCACAGGGCGAGCAAGAATAGATAAAGAAATAATGTAAAATAATGTCGCATTGTAAAGGTTTTATAAGAATCAAGAGACATTTGATAGTGTGATCAGAACATGACCTGTAAGTTTACTTACCCAAAGTTACTTATTTTGAAATACCACGTTATGAAAATTTATAAATGACGTTCAACGATGATGGTTGCTGTTTTTCAAGAATATGCCCGATGCAAGTTAATAAATTCGCTTCATGGATAATTTGATGCAATTTCGATCGAATCTCGGATGACCAAAAGAATGGCGTAACAAGATCAATTCCAAAAGAGTTTATGAACAAATTAAAGCCTATGTGGCAAGTTTATGAATGAATTGTAAGCAAGTTCTGTATCGCATTTCAATACTGGACGTGACGTTTAAAGTTTTAGCACGAAAACTTAATTAAGGGCAAAGCATGAATAATATGGCTGAGTTAATTGCTATGGAAGCTGGAGTTTTAAACCAGCACCCCAAATTACTGGGCTGCACAGTTCTCGTAATTTCAGAGATATTGCGATTTTTTTACGCCAAAAAATGCGTTAGTTATGCAGAATTTAATTGAAAGTATGAAGTAAATGGGCAATCCGTTTATTGACCCAATCAATCCAGCTTAATAACTTATTCTTGATCTGGGCAATATGAAACGGTGTGATGTCTTACATCAATTTTGATAATTTGCATCAGTTTTATTTTCGGTCTAATTTTTTTGCAATCATTATGAATAAACAATATTTTACAACCAATCGAAGCGCAAGTAACAGGAAGATGTTACTCAAAATGTTACATAAATTAATGAATCAAAAATCCATTAAATATTTGACCGAGATGGATCTAAAACGGTTAAACATCATACTGTTGTAGGTACGTAATTGTTTTCTGATATTTTTACTCTGAACACATATGTTGATCTCGAGCTTCCATTTGTTTGAAGTTTGCCATTAAAAATAAATTCGTTACTGTAGTCAGAGCCAATTAATGGTAAAGTTTTAGTCATACAAAACTTTACCATTAATTGGTAAACTTTTAAAACTTTAGTTTCATACGCTATACATTTTAAATAATTTCGCAGAGGATTTTTCCCATTCAGAAGAATTGCAAAAAAGTGTTAGGCCGACTATTTTTTAAAGGAACAAATTTTTTGAGTTCAAGTCCGGCCCAGGTCTCGTGCTGTCATAGTGTGTGACGTAAACAGAAGCTTAATTACTTAAGTACATTAATAAAAAATTTCTTGCGTGTATTGCAAGCTTGATGTCTCGCTTAAATGAATTTGGAATATAATGAATTCTTGCGAATGAGGACAAGGTGAGGTCAGATCGCCTGTCGAATTCTGATTTCGCACGTCACGTGATATAAGTATAACATTGTGTATTTATGTAAAGGCCCCTGTATGGTGCAACTTCTGTTATTACTAATCATTAAGCTGAATCAAATTTGTTAGGACATTTTAGTTTGACTCCATAAGCAATTCAGTACAATAATAAGAAAAGTAGTCTCAATTGACTAATTAAAATCTTAACATGCCGCAATATAGATTAATGACTTTTAAAATAAATCGGTTGAGCCATAGCAAATTAAGCGAGGTAAGTTTTAGTTTAGCTTGTGTAGCTTGGAAATAGATCCTGAATCTTGCAATCACGTTATTAAATAGAGCGCTCTGTGAGCGCTCTTATTATTAAATAGAGCTTAATTAGAGGGCAATTAAATTAGTTGAAGAATAAATTGACACAATTATTTATTTCCAAGAAACAACTACGAAATATTAATAACCATGAGATTAATGTGGAATGGATTGAAGATGCACAAAGGGTCCAAGGGATGTCTTGTTACAGAAAGCTGATGCCTTGGTAGTCAGTGCGAGAGCAAATCAACTTAAACGTCAGGAATCAACATGAATGATAGTAACAAAGACAAACAAATGATACTTGTTCGCCATAAAATTATATGGATTTTCGTTTACCTGTGGGATCTTCAACCGGCCACATAATTGAATGTGAGTCGCAATTTTCTTACGTGATTTGAACTCAAATAACGCCTTTGGAATTCTAACTAATGTAGAAGTAAAGGTTGAACCAGCGTTTCAATGAATGATAGAAATTTTCACGTATATGGAGTGTACGAATATTTCAACAGCAAGAGAAATTAGACCTTGGGGAAAAAAGGGTGGCTATCAAACCAGTAGCGACTGATACATTTTCATAAAATACGAATAGATGGCATAATTTTATGCAACTTTGGTTGTAAGAGTTTTTCTCCCTTGTAATAAATTATACGTAAAGCTGCCTTCAATCTAGAAGGCAGATATTAACGAGCAAAAATTTGAACTTAATGAAGTGAATATGCATTTTTTGCAGTGTATACAGGCGTTCCATTTCTTGATTCAGACGAGAAAAAATTTATGTTAGCATGCTCTATTCAACATTGTAATTCTGCGGCTTTATTACGCACATCCTTAATCAAGTTAAATCACAATGCATTATATCTTCTTACCTCGCAAACTTTCTTTTTTTTTACGACCTGTCATCGCTACGTTCCGTAAAATAGTGCGATTAAGCAACCCAAAGCTTTCAGTAAGTGTCCGAACTTCGTGCTGCAACGAAATCAATGGTCCACGTTGCCCATCAGAAATGCTCTTGAAATTTAACTTCTTTTCAAGAGTTCTAAGGGCAAATTTATAAATAAATTTGTATTTGGCCCATGCAGCCATTGTTAAAAACTGAGAGTGGTAATAAAGGTCAGTTTGCCAGCGAGTTTTCGAGTGCTGTTCTAGCTGAACTTTACGTGGCAGCGCTATAGGCCACGTCAATGCACAGAAACAAGAAAACAAATAGAAAGAAATTCCTTAATGACTAAGAAGAAATACGTGAGTGTCTCTCTGTATCAAAATGCGATTTTCCAGGCAAAGAAATTAGGGTTTAATTTCGATACCTGGCTGAGTCTAACATCTTGTGATATAATTATTTTATTGGATTGATTAAGTCATAGCGAGTTAAGTTTTGAAATTCATTTTCATATTGTCCGCGCATGATATACGTATAAAGGGGCTAGACTACACCCAAGCCCCAACCGCGGTTACGAGACTTACGTCGTGTTTTATACTTCAAGCTTTTCTTCAACTACACTATGCTCCCTTATATCTTAATCAAGAAAAGGTAAAGATGATTATTTTTGTTGAATGCGTATTGCAATTTTTGTACCAATTTATAGCACGATGCCATAACGTAAAGCCACGTTAGTTAATCCGTATTATGTTACATTTTTAAATCATACAATTGCGTCAGTAAATGACCTTTTAGAAACTGCATGGTGATTCTTGAGTTTCAACCCATGCAAGGCGTTGTGACATTAAGCTTAGCAAGTATTTTTACTGATATCTCAACGTATGAAAATTTCCACCATTTCTCCAGGTGAATTCCGATGTCTGATCATAACATGAATCCGGTGATGTTACTCAATGAACCTCCAACCTTAAAAAAAAAAACTAAATTTCTGAGATAATGATATCACTAGGAATTTTTTAACTGCTTACACTGGTTATGATTGAGAAGGTCGCAGATGAACTTTAAGTCTTCTTCAGTAGTGAATATGTAGTGCTAACATTGCATGTATTATTGCAATTATCGATGAAAATATTGCTTGCAGAACTCGCTGTCAATTGACATCCACGTCCTCTTCGAAAATTTGCTACCAAGAACTCCCTTAATTAGTGACCAGCACCAAAGAACAAGTCCCTCGTGATGTGAGATAAATATGATGCCGGCTGGAGAACCAGTAAAAAAGTACTTCAACATATTTCCTCAAAGCTATCATCTGCCATGCACAATTGAGAATAATTGGAAAAATATTAATTAAAATACGCTATTTGGGGGTATTTAGTAAGGTTTATTAATTATTTTCACATAAAATTTTTGGAAACTAAGGAAACACACGAGAATGTTATCATTCTAGTTTCATGTACAAAACTACATTAAATTTCAACTCGGTACTGAAGATTTGCCAACAAGTAGTTTTCTATAGCATACGAGTGAAAGTGCGTTTTTTTACAATAAAGTTAGTGTTTTCTTTAAATTTTAGATGGGATACTAAGCTGTTATCAATGGAATGAATCGGACATTAAACAGCTGTCACGAATCAGAAGTAAAAATTCCACGTCGCAAGGATAACAAATTTGAAAAGATGAATTAAAAGAAGACGTATTGGGGAATTAAAAAAGAAGTATGAAATAATAATTGTGAATACGTTTTGTGTTATCTACTGACCAAGCTACGAGTTGGATAAAACTTGATAAAAACAACTGTACATGGCTATAAACAACTGGTATTATTGTACATGAAGTTAACAATGCAGGGTAGCCACCAAACAAAATATTTTCTGACATGCAAGCAGCCAAGCACGAATCAAATGAAAATCTAGTCTATTGCGATATTTTTCAATGTTTTAAATTAAACGCTCACCTTGCAGTGACAGGTTTGAGAGGCGTTTGGAACAAACTTCTTGGAGGTGCGCTGCGAGCCCTCTTGTAGCGCCGTTGGTACGCCGCAGAACTGCTGCCTTTGCTCTCTGTTCGGCTCGATGGTGTCGCGTCAGAAGCAAATTTTGCATTTTTTGGACTAGTTTTATCAGTACAACCTTGTTCGATGCAAGTGCTACTAGACGTTTGACTGACTGACGGTTGTCCATCGGCAGACAAGGCTGACAAACAATTTGATGACTTTGACATTCTTAAAAACGATGTTGTAGTCTCAGAAAGGGAGCCTGCATCATTCGGACTCTTGGCGTCGCTCTCACTGCAGCGCAAGAACCTCAGGTCTGAAGTTGATCGACTCATTTGACTTCTTTCCGCCCACATTACCCTGAGCTGTCTGCTGTAGGCTTTTCGAGTGTTCCTTTCATATAATCTCAAATGACTTTCAGACTTTATATCGCTTATGACACTCTGGTTGCTATTGCATTTCTTAAGTTCAGATTGGAAAACACCAAGTCTAGCGTTAGCTGTTCTTCTGTCAGAGTCACGGGTCAACCGACTTACACTAAGGTTCCCTGTGCTTCTGTGACATTCTCGTGGTAAACGACTCACGCTCAGGTTACCTGTACTTCTTTGATAGTCACGAGACACATGATCTGCACTCAAATTTCCAGTACTCCTATTGCATTCACTTGAAAATTGATTCAAAGCTGATAGAGAATTGGGCATAGAGTTCTGGTTTTGGAATAACTTCCAGCCGAGACACGATTCGGGAGGAGGGGATTTAACATCTTCGTTACTGGTCGAAGTTTGAAGGTCGGGATGTTTGAGGGTCGTTCGAGCTCGATCATGAGCTTCCCGATTGGTTTTTGCTGCAATAAAAAGGCCACTGCTGTCACTGTCGTCTGCTGCAGCCGATGATATCCCAGTGTCAGCACTGATGATGGTATTGCTCGCTTCCCAGGTATCATCTTCCGAAGATGAAACAGACAACTCAGAACAGTTCGATGACAGACCTAGCGTCGATTCCGAGTCTCCTTGGAATCCAAGATTTGTGTAAGCTGGAGATAGGAAGGGTGTTTTTTTCTCGTTATCCTCCTTCGTTTTCATCTTGAATTTTGAGGAGATGTTTGGAGAGGAAGGGGAAGAAGGAGTTTCGGATATAGCAGCCCCATTAAAAATCGGTGACGTTACAGTGCTTTCCTCCTTGGTTTGCTCATTATTAGTGACCATATCATCTGTTAAGCTCGTCTCCTTCGATGGCGATGAAGTTGGAAGAGGAAAGGGCAATGCAATAAAATTCGGTAGAAGCTTGTTTCCAATATTTTTTGGAGCTTGTGGTGGGGTTGCAAGAGGAGTTGTTTGTGAACTTATGGCAGTGGAACTTGAATGGCTCGGATTGCTTGCAATATCGATGACGACGTGTTCGGGCTTCGGATCTATGACAGAAAAGGATTTTTTCTTTTTAAATGGCAGGCGAAGAAACTTCAGACTTGGTTGCTTTGCCTTATTATCTTCTTCTATGAGCGGCGGCATCAATTCCTGTTTTTATTCAGAATGTTTCAAACAAAAATGATGACTTCACTAACTGTGAAGATTTTCTTGTGGAATATTTTTATATACACGTTCGCTATAAAATTGTTAAAATTTATCAGTAGAGCTTTTCTCAGCAGTACTTATATCATATGAATGAAGACACTTTCGATGAGAAATACAAAAAATTATTCTCGGAAGAATTAATTAGTGTTCCTACCTTCACGTCAATTGTGTTTAAACTTTATCGATCTCAGAAGTAGCAGGAATTTATCGTAAGAAAGTTCAGTTAATAGAATTTTTGTATAGACTCGTAAAATCTAACATTGAACCTAATAGCTTCAGGTTTTTTATTCAATTCATATGAGAACCAATCATCTGTAACACCACACCTCTGAAAAAATAAAATCGACACATTAGAAAAAAATATAACTCAGTACTCACAGCAATGAGTGACAAAGAGCGCATTTTCTCGTCGACGAAAACTTGAGGTCACGGACGGACGGACAGACGGACAGACATACGAACATGGCGAGCACAATAGTGCATTTTTTTCCATAAATGAGAAAATGCGCTAAAAAGTCTGGGCACCTATGTTCAAAAAATATTCTGCGGCAGATGCACGCCTCGTGTTTATCTTTTCAGCTCCAATCGAAAAACAGTTCGTCGAAGAGAAAGCTTACGGGCGCGCGTCAGTCGACGCCGACTACTGTGTTATTATTCAGTGCTCATGCGCGATGACGGAAATTCTAGGAGTGAGTGGGTTTGGGGAATTATTTCATTGAGTTTTATCATGGTAAGTTTTTAGCTTGTAATTGGCTAAATGAAATCACTTCTGAAATATGATGTATATGTTCTATTGAGACATATGCACGAATTATGAAGAGATACATTCGCAATAAAATTCACACGTAAAGGGTACAACATTATAAGTTTAGAACGGAAAAAATTTTGCATGTGGGACTGACAAATTACTAAAATCAACTTCTTCATTGTCCTAATTAAAGTTTAGAGGGGTTTATTAATCACAGAGATGTCAAGGTAGAACTCGTGAAGAAGTAAGAGCTTTCAAACACTTATATAATTCCACGAAAATTGTATTCTGGCGGATGTTCTTGGTGTTTTCCCATGTACTCATATAGGTCTTAATTTAAATTCTGTGCAGGTCGGCTCTATAACACGTCACAGCAAAAATTTATTTCCTGGCAAGTGGAGGTATATAATACATTCTTCCCAACTACATTGAGGATTCTCTCTGTATATTACATGGTAAAAAGGGTTAAACGGAAAAATATATCTTATCGTAATGGCACAAAGAGAACAGATAGCATTTATTATTATCTGTGGCTGAGTTACACGATCAGGGGTCATAGAGACTCTCATGCCATCGTAGCTACTTCCTGCCAAGCCCGGCACTGGGTTGCGACCCAGAACAAACGTTTTCTTCTTTCCAGTCCCCGTGATTGGTAGCTATTAGCCCAGCTTTTACTTTTGCTGCCAGCACTGCAGACTGCACAATGCAAATAGTTCGTGAACGCGCAAGAGCGGTAAAAGGGTGGGAAATTTACCGTTAAGACCAAGCATTCAGATGCTGATTCACCTGAAAGGGAATTTTGTCAGGAAGGTTGTAGACAAGGAAAGTTGTTATAGGACCCAATTAATTGCTTTCGATGATATTAATGACAAGAAAACCTATCCCCCCAAAAAACTCTATAAATAATCGATGAAGAATTCAAATGAATTCTTTTAGGTGGCACACTGTATATAACAGATTGGCTTTAATTTCGTTTATGATATTTCACAATGTTGAATGCATTAATTGGTGCTTCCGCCTCTTTCAAGTGCTGTCAGTATATCTGACTGCAATAGGCACTGGAATTATACTGCTGATTGATTGATACAAATATTATATTTTGTTCTTTTTATCCAGCGTGTGGTACATTGGCCGCTCTATTGGAAAGTTGAGCGCTGTGTTGACGGGCAGCAGCGTGATGTTCTGGCGGCACTTAGCCTGCTAGTGAACGTATTATTTGCACTGCAAGTCAGCTAAGGAAACATGCAGTGAACTGAATCCATGCTGCTCCTACACGTAGCCTAAATACGGTCAAACCTCTTGGCTGCTTTACTTTTTGCTTCAACAATGTTATGCGAAGTTAGGCTTAGTTATACAAAAAACGTACATTTTAGTGAAAAATTATATAAATGTCTCGAATGATGGTAAATTATTTAAAATTTACAAGAGATGATGTTTCCATCACATATTTGATCATGAGACAGGAGAAAAAAAGTCAATGTGAATTGCAGGAATCACATCAGTCAACTGCTGGTAAAGGGAGTAGGCTGGAATTACGATAGTTGTGAATGTGAGGAAACAGATACAATAAATTAAGAGTATTTCTCAACTATAACTGTAAGTAAAGTTTACGAAGCAAACTATTGATCAAACTATCCAATTTCAGCTCAACAAGGTCATAAAAAGCGATAGTGATTCGTTTTCATGGCACAGTTGAAGCTCCCACTTACAGTTTTTTCCTAGGGTTATAATTCAGACGAGTATTTGTAAAATGAGACGTGAGCATAATACGGTTTGTCTGCAAGATACGGCAAGACAGCTGCAAACGTCGCCAGAGATTTTTCTTACATACAGGCGGGTTTACAATAGCTTTTTCCGTCAAAGGAAAGCGTTTGCCCACTTTGCTTATGCTGCCGTTACTTTTTTGTGAAGCATAAGCTCGGTCTGGTAAAGTAAAATGATTCCCGTTGCTAATAAAAAGTTAAATATTTATAATGAGGACAGAGCAGCAAGGCAATTATTAAGAAGTAGCTCAAAGAACTTAAATTGAGGCGAACATGTATTACAATGAGCTGAGAGATGAAAAGAAACGTTCACCACTCACTCGCTCACAGCGCCATGAGTGCGGAACACAGGCGTCTAAAAAAAGTTACTCCTGCAAAACTTCTTTTTGTCGGGAGCTTCTGCGGTCACTAAGCAGACAAAAACAAAAACCAGTATTTGTGAGGGTTGGTGACAGGCGAATGAGTGGTCATGAACACCCATACAAACTAAGTCTAGTTTCATCAATAATTTCTCTGATTCTTTTTTTGCTCGAAGTCGAATTTCCAAAAGACGCACTTGATCCTGAAATGTTTTTAAAAGTGGCGTATTTTCGTTTCTAGGAACAAATTTATGCAAAAAAGACTCGCACTAATAAGATTTACTTTTAAATCAAAGCACGGAAGCATATAATTCCAAAAAACCTTTCTTGTAATTACTCTTTAGTTCAATAATTTAAAGACATGAGTCTTTCCTGCCGACAGAAACGAGCCAAACAGGAAGCATTTTGTGTGCACTGGCTTTCACTGGCTTGCGTTGCACTGGTGATGAATGAAAAAATTTCAGTATTCAGCAAGCCAATAGATAAATATGGACAGGAATACTTATGCCTCAGAATATACCTACAGAGATTTAGAAGAACTTCCACACGTCCTTGAGATTCAAAGAAATCTATTGGAACATGACTTGATTTGCACCCAGGATGCGACGTTGTGTGGCAACATAATTCGTTTCAGCAAATTATTCTTCAGCAATACATTTGACCTCTGCAAGAAAATATTAATGAATGAATTTTAGATAGCTTCTTAAGTACTTTACATATTTGAAATGTGAAAAATAAAATAAAAAAGCTTGAAAATTAGAAGAAAATCATGCTCTGTTTATGTTCAGCGACTTGTGAGATATCTTGCGTACGAACTTCAGTTGAACAATTACTAGCGATCGAATAATCAGGAAGTCGGCGGAGCGGCGACGGCAAACACGAAATAATCTTACTTATTCATGAGCAGATAAATGGGAACAAATCACAGGGTGCAGGACTTGTCTTTGAGTGGAAATAACTGGCGTAGTTTTCCGTTGTTTAGCGACTGCAAGAGTGTCGGCAAGCGTAATTTTTATGATATTTCAAATCACTCGTAAATATAACGTGATAACTACATATAACCAATAGAATAGAAAGAAAATGTGTAATAACCTGAGACTTGAGTCACAGTACGAGGACAATGGATCAAAATTACGACTAAAAGCTGAAACTTAGCGTTGTTAAACGCTACAGTATCAGAAAAGAATGAACACATTGTTGCAGATTCAACAGTATCTAACGCCAAACTAACACTTTGTGAGATGACTTATGTCATGCAGAGACGTCTGTAAATACCAAACATGATATTCGCCATGTCTGGTTCAGGGTACGAAGAGTCCAGAAGATGCGTTCAACTCACCGAGACGACCAATATTCTCAGAAATAATGACCCAATTGTTATCAATCACAGGTGTCAAAGGAGTGCGGGGAATTCCCCCATAGGATTACGAAGGAAAAGAGTGATTGTGGAGGCCCTACGCGGCGCTGATCTTAATGCGCTTCCTGTCAACTGTGCGTGACACTCAGCCCCTGCAGGGCATTATGCAGAGCACGGGACATAGCACTGCATAGCAAGGAGGCAGTGCACAGCATGATATTTTGAGCACATCAGGGAAGGCTACGACAGCAAGTTACGCTGCGCACTGCAGAGAAAGCAGTGAACCGAAAGGTATGATGCGCACAGTAGAGTGTAAGACGCGCAACAAGGCATGCTGTTCCAACTCTGGGCAAGCAGCGCACATAATGGCATAAGATAATTAGATATTACGCGCAAAGCAAAGCAAGACACGCTGTGCACCTCGAAGCAGAGAGCACAGTATGACATGATGTGCACACCAAAGCATACTGTTTACACTGTACAGCCTTGTGGCCAAGCAATCCGCATCAATGAATTCCTTATGATACTAATTTAGGTATGCCATTGCAGACCGCCGATTGAAATGCGGCGAAGATACAGTCATATATGTTGAAAGCAGCTCAAATGCTACTTGAAATTTCTACTTGGCCAGACTTTTGCAGCATTTGAGGTTGTGACATCTCTTGCTGGTCTGCTGATGCACGCTCTTTAGGTAGGGCTCTCCTTGAATAGAGCAGTCAGCTTTGGACCCCTACACGGTCGGCTCAGTGCCGCAATTGGAAGCGGTCCAGCGCGGTTTTAAGTCTAGGATCAGTGGGATGGAGGAGCCAAACTACTCGGACAAGCTTGAGCACCTGAGTCTGTACTCATACATAGAAGACGCGAGAGGTATTTTTGCTAGTCCGCAAGCATGGGTAAGAACCTTTAAATTCGACTGACCTCTAACTTCGACAGCAAGACCTTCATAATTGTAACATACCAAAATGATAGAAGGTGTATAATGTGTGCAGATAAGCCCCCATCTCGTAACAGAGCTGAAGTCAGATTTCAATCTCTGCGGGAAGGATCCCCTACCGTGGGGCGTGGCTGGACCGAGGCTGTCACAGACTGACCCCTCGGACTGT